TAGGCTTAAAAAAAAAACTAAAAGCTTCTAAAAGTTAGAAATATAAGGGAACATTCCAGTGGGAGAATATTTTGCTTTTTTCTTAAGTGAAAAAAGTGGCATAAAATTCTAACCACAATGACTTTGTGTGCCGCCAACATTTCCAGTTTTCACTCCCATAAATTCCAGACAATGGATGCTTTGTTTCAACCTGCTTTTCAGAAAGCTGATGAAGTTTGTCACAGCAATGATTTCCAGAGGCCACTGGGCTGCTTTCAAAAGACAAGGGAATAATTTTGAAAGACGGCCGTAGGAGTCGTACAGATGGGAAGAACATTTCAGCATCATAAGACTATTGAACACAGTCACTCAGGCACAAAGACTCCCCCCCCCCATGATGGGGTGGTGGCTGTTCTCTTTCATGCGTCCACAGTGTCTCTTTCATGGCCTCAGTGATCCACATGAGAGGCTTTTGCTACTCCTAGGATGGCAGTAACTTCTCTTTTAGGGAGGATGATCCTTCATTTGATGGGGCACCAGGAAACCATCTCTTTTTTTAAAGTGTCTTACATATGCAGGACTCTGTCCAGTCCAAGTTTGATTTAAAGATGAAAAAACCATGAGGAGGGAGATCTTGAAATTGTTCCTCCACTGTTTTCAGCGTTGGAACAGCAGCCTCTGTAGTCAAGGAGACCACCTGATCATATTCTTCTCTCTACCCAAGTGAGATAAAATTGTAGTTCTATTTAAATTCTAGAAATCTGTTCTAGTTTTGTACCTGTTTATATACGTCTGCATATGCAAGTCAGTACCTTCTCTTTTTTTCTCTCCTTTTGGGAGATTATAAGTGGGCACCCAGTATGTGCTTGAAAGATGCTCACATGCTTGTCCCCAGACCTGGCACTAGAAATGGACACGAATCACAGTTTGGGCTGTTTACGCTGGCAGGCCTGAGGAGAAGGGGGTGCAGCCGGTACATTGTTCCGGGGCCCATGGAGCCCTGGAGCTCAAAAGGAGGCCCATGAAGGGGGAAAAAAATTAAAAAATTATAAAACCAAATTTTTAAAAAAGAAAAACAATATTGGATATTGTGACGAAACAGTTGTGTTTCATGTACTGTTTGATTAGTGTTTTCTGTTTTACTTCCAAGGGCCTGTGTTAGAGGTGGCCTGGCTTGGAGGGGGGGGAAGGAGTGGCTTCTGGCCAATCGGCAGTCTCCAGCTGGAGATCAGGGGATGGATGATTCCAGTGGGAGAATATTTTGCTCTCTCTTGCCTGTGGGATGGGCTGCTGGATGGGAGAGCCTCTCTGAGGAGGCAGAGACAGGAACTCAGAGATGGGTCGATTGCGTTAGGGGTTCTGTTTTCTTTGAGTCTGTGTGTTTCCAGGCCGGGTGGTTTTAATTTCATTACTTATTTATTTACATTTGCAAAGTTTAGTTTCATTTCTTTTATGAATATATTTTATATTTCATTTCAGTTTAGGAATGGTTATGAAAGCTCATCTCAAAAATCTGGAGCTCAAAATAGGCAAGGAAAAACAGAAACGCGAGGACATTAATAAAAAGGGACGGCAAACACTTTTTCAGTTTGGCGTTAAATGCAAAACAAGCGAAACTAACCAAACGAAACTTTAAATTCAGAACAATGTGAGACCAGTGCAGAACGGAAAGGTCAGAAACTCACGAGGCCAGTTTGGATGTTCAAGAAACATCAAATCAAGCAAATTCTCAATTTAAAGATTTAGAGAAACAATTGAATGTTAGTGATGAGAGCACTTCACTGTCTACAGATTCTGGCCATGGAAAACATAGTGAAGAGAAGAGTCAGTCAAATACTGCAAATAATATTGGACTTCTTATAACAGAGATGCCTTCTCGATTGGATATGGAAAACCATGTTATTAAAGGTCATACTGGCTTTCCTGAAACAAAGATATAGATAACCAGTTTTTTTCCGAAAATATTCTAATATGTTGAAGTTTAAATGGTGAAAAAAATGACCGAGATTGGCTCGTCTATAGTGAAGTTAAACAAGCATTATTTTGCTTTCCTAGTTGATTATTTTGGAACAACATTTGTTGCAGCATTAGCTCAGCATCTAAGTCTATATTTTCATCAACAAAAGGATGGTCAGCAGTTAAAAAGTGCCAGAAATTATGTATTCGCATTCCAGAACATGAGAGAAACAATAGTCATATAGGCAGTGCTATCTGGCTTGAAGTAGCCTGTTATCTGGCAAATGCATTGACAGTCTATTGGAGGCATCAATTGAAACAAAATCTGTCAAGTGGTACAACATTATGAAACAAATCATTGATGTTGTACTATTCCTCGATGAATTGGGCTTGTTTGCGTGGCAGTTCCCAGCGCATTGGTGAAAAAGACAATGGAAATTTTCTGGGAGTCATAGAGTTGTTGTCTCATTGGGATCCAATTCTAAAAGATCATGTGTTGCAAGTTAAAGAGTCACAAGAAAAGGGATAACAACTTCAAGTACAAATCTTCGGAAAAAACCCTGTCTTATTTTCGGGGAAACACAGTATCAATTGCTCACGGTGAACTGAAAGAAAAATCAAATTACTGGCAGATCAATATCCCACTGATACTGTATCAGTGAAGATCTTGTAATGAAGATAAGTCATTTACCATCTGTTCATCAAGCAAATTTTGGAGAGGGCCAACTGAGTCCATTGGAGCTACTGAATTGCTTGAAAAAGATGCAAGGAAGATATTTGGAAGGCCTCTTTCCAAATATATGTTTCTGCCTCCGTATTCTATTAACAATTCCTGCCACTTTCACCTCTGCAGATCGCTCGTTCAGCAAACTAAAGCTGATAAAAAATGTCACAGGGGTGACTGGTAGATTTAGTAAAACTCAGTATTGAGTCTGATCTTGCAAAAACAATTGATTTTGATGATGTGGTTCGCAAGAAAATCACCTTTATTTAGCGGAATATAAATACCATTATATCTCAACTATAATAACGGTTATGAGCATGTAACCTAGTATTAAATTTATTGCTTATATATATTGTTTCATTATTGTTTATATACTAAAGTATATTATTGTTTTTATTATGTTTTACAGAAGTAACTGTCCTCTTTTTAATATATCTGCAAGCATGTTTGAATGTGATTAATAAATATGCAGTTATGACATTATTGATTTATGTGTCCATGTGTAGGTGAGGGGGCCCATATATTAGTCTTGTTCCAGCACTTAATAATCCTCTCGGCAGCCCTGCATGCTCGTTCATGTTTTGCCCATAGAGGTGTTTGGCACTTCCAAGCCCTGCCTCTTTTGTTGGGCACCCGCCCAGATGCAGTGTCTTGGCTTCCCTGCCCACCTCCTCTGGGCACTGCCTCTGAGTGGGCACCCACCAGAAGACGCGGGGCTCAGAAGTGTCAAACATTTGTTTGAGTGATAAACAAACTACAGGATACATGCCCATCTCTACCTAGCACTATAGTGAATGACAAATCCAATCAAATCTTTGTATTGTCAGCACTGAAGACCCTGTCAAATTTCCAATACTTTCTTCTCTAAGGAGCACGGGGATTAGTGTGTGTCCAAACCGCAGAAGCCTGTGCTGCAGGGTCAGAAGATCCGTCAGTCGTAAGATCGAATCCATGCAACGGAGTGAGCTCCCGTCGCTTTGTCCCAGCTCCTCATCAACCTAGCAGTTCGAAAGCATGGAAATACGAGTAGATAAATAGGTACCATCTCAATGGGAAGGTAAAACGGCGTTCCCTAGTCATGCTGGCCACGTGACAACGGAAACTGTCTTCGGACAGGCCCTGGCGCTATGGCTTGGAAAGCGGGATGAGCGCCACCCCCTAGAGACGGACATGACTGGACTAAAAATGTCAAGGGAAACTATGTAAGATTTAACCTCTCTCTTTTTTTAAAATTGAATTTGCCAGAATACCTAAATTTAGAAAAATATAAATTTGTCAAGCAAGATAAATTTAGACATATTCTGAATATTTTGCTCATATGAATGTAGAGATCCACATCCCTATTTATTTACTTAAAATGTAACAAACAAATCATAAAAAAGAATTAAACAAACAAGAATGGGGACCTATGAAAGCACAAATAAATATTAAAATGCTCACTTGAGCCCGGTTGGAATGAGTAGATTGGGGTTCATTTTTGGTTTGTACGTGATCAGCAGCTGAGCCATGAAGCGCTCAATCTCTGATTTTTTTTTTTTTAAGTAAGATGGAGATAGAACTTGAGATGGAATGATTGGGCGGTTCTGGGTGGCCGTTAATATATGGATTTTACAGAAACACAAGAATGGTATGTGAACATGTGAATGTGGTAAATATTCTCTTCAGACAAGATCATATAAATATAGTTAAAAACAATAGAAAAAGCCCTTCATCAGAAACATGTTAACAATCTGGAATAGATATAGAAAACTGTTCGTTCCATCAGTTTCCCTCAGATCAGAATCCGGCTGTGGAAAAAAAAAGTGAGTAGGAGATATGAGTGATGGTGGAGCAGCTCCAGTCATTCCTGGAGGAGGTGGACTGCCTGGATCCGTTCCAGTTGGGGTTCAGGCAGAGGGGAATAATTGACAGAGATGAATGTGTAGACATATGGGGAAAATTTAATGATTTTGTATTAAGAAAGGGGAAGAGATAAAGCTCAACTCAAAAGCCTGTACATTTTGGAAGAACAAGAGGGCTCCAACAAGGTAAATGGTATAGCCAGTTTCCTCCTTAATAGTCCCTGTGCTTTGGTGCACTATGTTATGTGGATTCATTTTTGTGAGTTTTTTTCCCCTTTAAATAAAAGGAATGATTAGATGGAACTTTACAGATGTGAATCCTGACAAAGGACCATTGTTTATTATATATGCTTAGTGGCCCATAACTAAATGTGAAGCAAAAACATGATGCTTTGATTTGGGTCACATTTACATCTATCCTGAGATCTTTAGTCTTCACTGTAAACTGATACAAGGGCAGAATAACGATTTGATTGGGTGTCTTTTTTTAACCATTCCAGCTTCTGGCAGACAATTGAGACCAGATGACACAGAGGCCGATGGGGAGGCTGATGCAGAAGATGATTCTGTGAGTAACACCCACTGATTTTTAAAGACCATCTTTCCCTTTCAGCTAGAGTGAAGGGTGATCTATGGGCCATAACAGCTGATGCAACATCTAGAGCACTGGTTCTTAACCTTGGTTTACTCAGGAGTTTTGGACCGCAACTCCCAGAACCCTTCACCACCAGCTGTCCTGACTGGGGTTTCTGGGAGTTGCAGTTCAAAAGCATCCGAGTAACAAAGGTTAAGAACCACTGATCTAGAGCATATACTATATTAGAATATGACCCCTCTGCTGCGCATTGATGCTCCTTTTGTTTTTTGTTTGCTTGTTTCTGAAGGTATCGCTCTCATTTCCAGAGTTTCAACTCAGTTCAATATTATATTTGGCCATTAAAAACCCTTGGACTAAAAGGATGGAATTTGGGTTATGAAAAATTGGAAGGTTAGGAATATTAAGCTTACAACTATATCATAGTTATAATATGGGTGGATGGGTGGGGCTTGTCAGCCTTGGGAGGCAGCCCATCTAGGAGAAGGAAAACTCTGATTTCAAACCTCCACTGCCTTGTGGCTATATCCATTGATAGAAAAGGCTTCAGGAGTCAACCTCGAGACAAAATCCGGAGCCGAAGTCCCAGAGGCGCTTTGTGTTGTTCTGTCAGCTTCTGCAACGTCACTGGAACCAGTTGTATTGACTCTTGCCTTTCCATTGGACTAATTCAGTGACATGGAGAGGAGGGATTTGCTGCTTGGGTAATAGCCTATTCTTCATATTATTTTACCCAGGCTTCGTGCCCTGGAGAGGACACTCCAGCTTCGCATACACCGTCAAAACACTAGATGCTGTTCCAAGTCCTCCATACAGAGCACGTTACCATAGTCTCTCGAGACTGAAGGATGCCTATGCTATATCATAGTGCATTTAGAGGTGCATTGTTACTGGAATGGATAGATGATCGCTGTAATCTGTCTTTTATTTGATATTCCAAAAACATGTAGCTATCAGTCTTCTTTATATAGCTTAAAAACATTTTAAAAAAATCAGTATCCCTATCATAGGACTTGAAGGAATGGCAGTATGTATCTAAATGCAGAAGTGGTCTTTACAAGAGGGATCATGCAAATGTACCTATAGAAATGGGAAGATGTTGGCCAGGGTGACCCAGATCCAAAGTCTCCTTATTGATGTAGAAGTAATGCATACCCATGAACCTTCCACAATTACAGGGATGTTCTGATTTATTTCAATTTATTCTTGTTTGTTTGTTTGTTTGTGGTTTTTCTGTGCCACCTTTTCCTATTATAGGACCGAGAAATAGTAAACAACAACCAAGTATTAAAATGAATAATTCATAATATTGAAAAAATAATTAAAACTGTAACCATACAGGCTGATAAAAAGGTCATACTAGAACACTAGAAAAATGAAGACTCACATGAGAAGCAAACTATCCCATAATAATTCTCAGCTGAGTTCAGCTGTTTAAACCCTGAGAGAGGAGCCAACCTAGCCTTCTGGGCAAGGCATTCCACAGTTGGGGAGCAACCCTTGTAAAGGCCCTCTCTTGCATACTCACCAAACCTGACTGTGAAGGCAGAAAGCTTAAGAGAAAGGCCTCGTCTGAAGATCTAAGGAGCAGGGAAGGCACATAAGGGGATATATGATCCTACAGATAACCTGACTACAAGATATGTATGACTTTAGAGGACATAACCAGCACTTTGAATTGGGCCTGCAAATGATGATGGTGGTGGTGGTGGTGATATGTGTACGCATCCTAGGACGAGATGGTTGAACAGTGTCACTGAAAATGCCAATATGAATTTGACCCAACTCCGGGAGGCAGTGGAACACAGGAGGGCCTGGCATGCTCTGGTCTATGGGGTCACGACACAACTTAACGACTAAACAACAAGGGCTGGTGGTAATTAATGATATAAAACAGTTCCTGTGCCACAGTGACACTGACTTGTATTTGCGAAGGTTTCTGTAAATGTGAATGTTTAATGACCTGCCTTGCTGTTTGGCTTTTATTTTATAGGCCGTACTTGTTAAATCGTCATTCTGTATATGCCTAATAAAGGTTTCCGACTCTGATTTAATAGGCTATGCCTCTTTGCCTCGCCCTGCTGTACAAGTGTCTCTTCAAATTGGGAGAGGCCATGATGCACCACCTGCCTCCAGGCTGAACACTCAGATGCCAAGGTTTCCCATCTGTTGAGGTTCATTCCTAAGGCCTTCAGATCCCGCATGCAGATATCTTTGTATCGCAGCTGTGGACTCCCTCTGGGGCAATTTCCCTGCACTCATTCTCCATACAGGAGATCTTTTGGAATCCGACCATCAGCCATTCTCATGACATGCCTAAGCCAACATAGATGTCGCTGTTTCAGTAATGTATACATGCTAAAAACTCCAGCTCGTTCCAGGACTCCTCTATTTGGAACTTTGTCCTGCTAGTTGATACCAAAAATGCGTCAGAGACAACGCATATGGAACATGTTCAACTTCCTCTCCTGCTGTGCACAGAGGGTGCAGGACTCACTGCAGTACAGGAGTGTGCTCAGGACGCAGGCTCTATAGACCTGGATCTTGGTATATGCCAT